TCTAATGATTATGTTTCACTTTGAAGTGTACATTTGAGAATTAATTGAACAATATCTATGCTCAGCTTTAAGATTATATAATTTTCTTTTTTTTTTATTAACTCTTAGGCTGGGTTCACACCTGAGTGTATTTTTTCTGCTAATTTTTCAGCTCGTTTTTTGCGCATTTTTACCACGTTTTTCCGTTCAGTGAAAAGCGCGTTTCACTGGCGGTATAATTTTTTTTCCTTATTTTTCTCTATTTTTAAAAAAAAAACATTTTTTTCACTTTCAAACTTCCGGCCGGTTCCGCCCCCCTGCGACGCGGCCGCTCGCAAGGGACGGAACCCGGAAGTCGGCAGCCGCCGGAGGACACAGCGGGGATAGCGGACAAGGTAAGACCTGTACGCTGTATTCCCGAGTGTGGCTCGGGGTTACCGCTTTGTTAACCCGGATCCACACTCGGGAATACCAATGGAAACGCGCTGAAAAACGCCCCAAATAAGCTCCTGTACTTCTTTCGCGTAGGGCATTCTTCAGCGCGTTCCTACGCGCTGTAAAACGCCCAGGTGGGAACCATGCCCATAGGCAATTATTGGTTTTCACATGTTGAGCGTAGGAACGCGCTGTAAAACGCCCAGGTGTGAACCAGGCCTTAGTTCTCATGGCTAACACCACATTTTCCCCATGCTTTGGTGCAATCTAGCAAACAGCTAAATACAGATAAATTGTGCATATACAGTGGTACCTCGGTTCACAAATGCTTCTGTTCGCAAACAGGAAGTTCGGCAAAATTTTGCCTCCGTTCGCGAACTCTGCATCGGGTGACGAACGCAACTGAGGCCATCTTCCCTGCTCTGACACGTGTTTGTGGCTTCCTCTAGTTGAGATTGCGGTCGCAGACAGACCTGTGCACAATTGCGGTGAAGCTTTTTTGTGTGCTTTTTAGCACATACAGTACTGTACAGTATTATTCAATCCAGCATGGCTCCAAAGAAAGTGCAGAGCAAGCATGGTGGTAAAGTGCAGAGCGGTAATGAAGGTGACAAGAATGTGCATTTCCGGAGGGTTATGCAGCGCAGGAAAAAAAAGACAGATTTTTTTGCCAGGATTGACCCTGAAGGAGATCTCCCCGATGTCTTAT